AGGATGACAAAAATATTTAACCTCTTTTTTTGTTTAGTATTTTGCATTGTCAGAAAATAATCCATCAAGTAATATAAATTTGAAAAACACTTTTCCAACAACATCTTTCTCGTGTTCAACATCTCCAATATCGTCACCAAAATCAATGTTTAAATTATCGGATAATGACCTTGTAACACCAAAAAATTCATATCTAACAAGATATGTGCCCCCTAACATACCTTTATTTACATCTACATCCGTGCCTAAATCTATCACCGACACCATATCTTCTAATGTTGCTTCTTTTCAAGACAGTGTTAAGAGTGTAAGATAATTTTAAAAATTTATCACAGAACAAATCCAATACACTAAATATAAATTTGGTTAATTAATAATGTTTTTTAGTATTCATCTACATTTGGTGATAAAGAAAACGATGAGCCAAACAAAAACATGCTTGTCAAAGACAAACTTGACGATCATGAACAGTATTTCGCCACGGAAAATTTTTTTGAAGTTGAGGATAATGGAATTCTAATGCTTGAAATATTTGAAGTTGGCCAAGATACCTCTAAAATTATAGTAGAATCAGTGGCAAGTCCGGAACACAATATAGAAAGCGGTAGTATTCGTGCACTTGATAATCTTGAAGTTAAGACTGATGATGCTCATGAAACAGATCAAAATAATAATTCAATTGGAAATAAGTTTACAGACATAATCCCAATTTCTGATCAAAATTCTGAAATCAAAAATTTGAGAAAAGATTGGATTTGTCCTTGGTGCGACTTAAAATTTCGGGATCTTGTTATGGTTTTTAAGAGAAAACATTTTAAAAGTTGTTCGAAGTTAAAGAATAAAACCAAAAAAAGCATTCGTAATAACAATAGCAACCAATATAGCAAAAACAGATCAAATCATAATTACAGGTAATTAACTAATCATTGTGATAATCTAAATAATGATATATTCATTAGTTTATTATCCTTTAAAAATAATTTGTTTGATTATTTAGAAATGGGACAACTTTGCTTGACTATTTTCAAAAAGAAATATAAAATGAAACATAGTTCAATGGCTCTCATCAAGACCTATCGATTTATGTTGTTGAAAGAAGACCGATTATCAATTTTTTTTTACAAAATGGAAAATCTTTATATAATACGATTCACTCACTATATAATAGGTTCAATTATATATCGTGTGCCAACATGCAAGAAGTGATTAATTTATAAGTTTATCATTATGTTTGGATCTGAAAAGTCCAATTGCGCAAATCCATTAGTTTTAAAGTAGCACATTTTTTTATAATAAATTCGAACAATTTCACCATTAAAGCTTTTTAATGAACACTTTTTCATACTGAATGGAGCCCTCTAAGTAAATCTACGGCTGTTCGTTTCTAAGAATGGCTTTACATTTTCACTTCAAGTAGCTTTTCTTTGTTGATTATGAAAAAAGTTGACTGATTATTTAATATTTTTGTGTAAAACAAGTTACCAAAACTGAGGGATTTAAGCTTTCGTATCAGTATTGGAGAATAAATATGATCGATGTCGTTCACTAAAAAATTTCATCTCACATATATACTTGTTACAATGATCTAATAATTAAATTGTAAAAGAACGAGCGACAATAAAAATTGAAATAATAAAAACAATAATATGAATTATAATACTTTTAATACAATTATATGTCCAGTAGTAAGAACTAAAACAATGGCATTCTTTTCATCTATCATCTGGACTCCAATTATATCAAAACTACCATGTAATTTTTCTCTGAAATCTACAATATATTGTGAACCATGTTTATCTTTTCCTTCATGGTGTGAATAGATATATGCATGACGATTTCCTTCAAAAATCATTACAAATCTATTGGAAGGATCGTGAAATACAAAACGTTTTTCACGTTTGGATGCCTGAACAAATGCGAAGGCATTGAATGTTGCAAAGTGTGTCATGATTAATGGCGACGATACATGTATATTTTCTGAATGTTCAATTGAATAAACAATGCCATCAACATCAGATTTTAAACACACAGAAGGATAAGGTTTGGTTTTAGAATTTTTTGCTTTAGCATTATCAAATTGTTTACATATAAATTCTTGTCCACTAGATGATGATTTTGCTCCTATTAGCCCTTCCTTGGATATCCACATAAAAGTCACTGCTTGTCCTTCATAATCAATAGATTCTTCCATTTCATGACCAATAGGATGTTGAAGTGGTTTGATGGTTTCAAAACGAACTGTCTCATTGCTAGAAGAGCTTGCAAGCAAATCTGTTGTGTATTTTTCTAAACTTTCACGAAATTCAGCAAACTCATTTGGATCGAGAGTTTCAAATACTCCATCATCGTTATGAAAAACATGCGACCAACGCGTTTTATGATTGGCCTTCTCAATGTGTAAAGTTAATAAACCAATGTTTGGTTCAATGGTCCATAAAGAAGCATCCGGATCAATATTATCAAAAAATTGCGAGAACGCATAACATGGCAAAGGTGGCCGAGGCCTTAAATTGGTGTTAGTGGTGTTAGTGGTGTCAAATGCATCGTCTTCGGTTTTGATTGTAAGAGAAAGATGTGTTTTTGAAAAGTTACAGTGGATCGCGGTTTTCAGCGTACCCACAGGTAATTGGAAACAGACAGTAATGTCTGTAGATGTCTGCGTCCAAATATATGATGCCAATTTTTCTTCTTTATTACTTGGTGATATATTTTCATTTTCGTTTTCATTTTCATCATGTTCCGTAGATTGTTCAATGTGTATCTTTTCATCTTGATCAGACCGTGAATTTCCTAAAACTACATAATCTGAATCGCTGCATATCACATATCCAGATCCTCTATAATCAATAAAACAATACAAAGGGATTGAAGTTCCACGAATGACATGAAGTTTCTCGGTCACATATGGTTTATTTAATGACATCTTTAACAAAGAAATATCAAACAATGTTTTCGTTGTTTCTTCTTTTGAAGGAATCATTCTGTTTAGATTATGATGTTTAACTGTGTTATAAATAATAAAGAGAATGTGTGCATCATCTGCTTTGCCTTTTTCATCATCATATATAATTTTTCCATCAAGAAAAACAAATGGAACATTTTTATTTAATGTATCAGATTCTGCATCTAAATAGCCAAAAAATTCAGTGATATGTAAAATTTCTCCAGAAAATTTATCCTCGTTTTTTTTAACCCTAACCAAACACAGCAATCCTGATCCGTTGGTTACTAATAGTAGATTTGATGAAATGGATATCAATGAAGGATATTCGATAACAAGATTATTTGCTACTTTGGTAGATTTTGGAATTTGTAAAAGATTGTGTGTTATCAAAGAATTTGTTTCCTATCAAAAAAACAATATATTTTATATATCATAATTACTTATACAAAAAATTATTAAATATTTTTTTCACTATTAAAATGATAATAACAATAACAGTACTTGATCGTGTTCAATTAGAATTATTCGATTTTCTAAATCGAAATAAAAACAAGTTGCTTTGTCATCATTTATTCCAAAACCATAAAATAAATGATTAAAATGTATTCTATTTTGAATTTCTTTATATGATAGTTTACTATTTGAAGGAATTTTTGATATTGACACTCCAGGTTGAGGTAATTTATAAAATTTTAAATGTTCTGTATCGTCGAAAAGTTTTAATTTATAGCCTTCAAATTTTGCGTTTATAAGACTGTGGTTACGTTTAAGCGAAACAAATAAAGGAACATTAGAAATTGACATTTTTTATATTTTTTTTTTGCAGTGAGAATTTTTTATAGATCGTGTAACAAAATTGATTGACGTAAATAATTAATAATATAATAATAATATTAATATTAATATTAACATTATGACGGAAAATCAGATTGATCATTTTCCACTTCCTAAGGAATATATAAATCAAGAAAGTTCAAAAGAAATCAACGTAATAAACGGGGATGTGACTACTGTTGATAGTTCTAAAACTACATTAAAAGAATTAAAGTGTAAAAAATGCAGGTAAAAAAAAAGTTTTAACATTCATCAAAGTGAAACCAAAATTTCCATACTTATTTATATATACGCACACATGTATAAAAGACGTATTATTATATCTAGTGAAGATATAATTTCTCATAAAATAGGGCCGGGACAAATAGCTTTTTCATATAAGAAACGTGGTAAATCATCAGAAGATATTAAAAAACAATGTTCTTCATATTTTATAGAACCAAAGACTTGGATATTTGATAAATCATCATCATCATCATCATCATCTGATGACGACGAAACAAGTCACGAGAGTGAATTATTGGGAAAAATCAAATGCCCAAAATGTAACTCGAAACTTGGAAATTATAATTGGTCTGGTAAGTATAATTATAGAAATTATTTTGATTTGTGTTCCAAGCAAGTTTTTTTTTTGATTGTTTTGTTGTTGTTTTAATAGGAATGCAATGTTCTTGTGGTTCTTGGGTTACACCTGCCTTTGCAGTACATAATGAGAGAGTTGATGAAGTTTGGCAACAACAACAACAACACAGTTAATAATCTTTAATAATAAAATTTACAGTTATTATTATAATAATAAAAAAAAGAGCTCGAATTTTTTTATATCTTTTTTATCTATAGAAATAACAATAAAAGTTATCTTTTATATATATAATGAACTATAATGAACTTTTTTTTATATATAATAAAAATTTTTATTTGGAGCCTTTTATTTAATAATCTAAGAGAACCAAAGCCACCCAACATTTATATATGTCAAAAAAGGAGAAAAGACATTTCGTAAAAGTAAAAAAACAACGGAAGTGATGTGTGGTAAAAATAAAGTGTGAATGTGTTTATATATTGTGTGAATGTGAATGCGTGAATGACAAACAATTAAGGAAATTGATTTAATAAGTTAATTTGTTAATGTTGTTAATGTACATAATAATAATATGTTGATTTTTTTTTTATATATTTATACATTTATAGATTTATACATCTATTTTTTTTGTTGTGATGCTTAAATTTTTTCTTGCTCTAACATCAAAGGTAATTTTTCATCATCAACTACGAATATCACTTTTTCTGATCCATCACTGGAATCATCATTATCACCATCGTTACCGAGACTTATTGGTTGATACAATGATGAATCCTTTGGTAAGAGCCTAATGAACCCTTGAATAATAGCAGGAACAGCCATGAAAAATATTCCAAATGATAATGTAAGGACGAGTGAAGTGATAACGATACGAACAATTTTTGGAGAACAACGCCACCAGTGTTTAATACGATTATTTAGAGTGTCATAGTTGAATAAGTATGAATTGGTATTGACTGAATCGTTGATGTTATTATTGCTGCTGTTAATATTGTCATTGGCCGTTGTGGCAGTTTCTTGATTGTCAGCATATATTGGGGTTATGATATCATCTTTATCGCCGTCAATTGCATCGAGAGCTTTATACTCAATAATTTTTTCAGTTGCTTCAGTTTGAACAACATTTTCACCATCAATTTCCAAGATACGAACATTTATTCTCACACGATAACCAATAATATTTTCCACATCAGTTGTGAATGACTCAACACTTGATTCGATTTCTACTGTCACAAGCCCAATATCAAAATTATCTTGATATTTTAAGAAATCTTCAGGTTTAACGTCGGCTGGAATTATTTGAGCCTCAAGTACCTAAAGAAACATAATCAGAAAAAAAGTTATGTGTGTGTGTGTATATATATAATTAGAGTTAGAAATAAGTTAAATATGAGATGGAGAGATAAATAACTGAAATTTAGGAATTAGTACTTACTTGGATATTTGAAATTCCTAATTCAATTGGTACTTTGTTTACTAAAATTTGGCCTTCTTCGATATCAAATGTCATCAAAACGGCAGAAATTTTTTCGGCCAGAAGTTTTCCGTCATCATCTATAAGTTCATCAAGACGTTGCACAGCTACAGCAAATCTTTCAGATGATGGTGTTAAATAAGTGTTCGAGATTTCAATTGAAGTGCTTGATACATCTTTCATAGGAACTGCTTGTGATAAGGCTAATATTATTATAATAATGAAGATGACGAAGATGATAAAAAAATTTATTAGTATTATAGAAGAAAAATTAATTAATTTGAAAATTCAAAAAGTTACCAATTAAACAAGCGATGAACAATGCAAGAACGGAGTATTTAAATGCCATTTTTTCGAAAATAATAAATTTTTGAAAAAATTTTCGAGTAATTTTATTTTAGGAAAGGTGTGCGCGCGCGTGTGTATATGTTAATAAAAAACTTTTCAAAAGTTTTAATTATTACGTTTGTTGACGATGATATTGGAGGATGAGAGAAGAGTGTAGAAAGATATATGTGTGATAATATGTCTATTGAGAGAGAGTGTGTGTGAGTGAGTGAAAGAAAAAAGGTAGAAGAGAAGATGAGAGAATGGAAAAAAGATTGTTTAATGAAAAGTTTTTATATTAAGGGGAAAGAGGAAATGAAAGAGAATTAATTATATTAAAAAAAAAATTTTTTAAAAAAAAAATGGATAATTTATTTATTTATAGGTTGGGAAGCGTAAAAAAGGAAGGTTCTAATGTGACACTATAATTAATTAAGATAGGAATTTTATTTGTTTATTTAAAAAGGTTAATTAATTAAAACCGAATTTTTCTCAATAAAGAATTACTTTATTTATATTATTGTTATTTGTAATACATGAAAATATATTGTGTATATCATCACACAAATTTTTATTACATAAAAATTTAACTTTCTACTTTTGAACCGATCATAGCGCCAATTGCAAGCCCCAACGTTGTAAATCAATTTTTGTAATACTTTTAAGTATGTATATTACGGACTCCGTTTATACCTCTGTCAAAAGGTCTTTGGGACGATGATTTTGTCCGATAAATCCACAACATTCACATGTTTTACCAGAATATTCTTCGGTGTAGATGATCAGTTTGCACCAAAGACACTTGTGAGTTTTATGAAACAAGTCGGAAATGTGATCAAGTCAACACTTGTCTTGCGCCATCTTTTAAATTCAGGAGTAAAACAAAATGATTGTTTCACATAAATCAAGAGTTGGATTCCGCCGCCTATTCCCACATTGGTTATGAAAGGCTCTCACTCCTGGCCGAATCAAGTCATTGAAAATATGGGGTATTTATTGTCAACCCTAATTTCAAATGGGCTTGATAGAATTCACCGAGGTAGATTAATGATACACTGAACACCTCCGACCTTTTGATCTAATGGTAATTGGCCATGTTTTATCTTTAAAGGTTTCTTTTTGCACTAGTGTTTGATTATAATTTTTAATAGGTCAATCATTGCTACCACTCTAATATTAGAGGGGTGGGTGGATGGGTGGGTAGTTGTATAAATATTAACGAATTGAAAATAATTATTGCCATAATGAACATTATTTAGTATTACTAAAAGAAAAGGCATTTTTGCTATTCACAACTATAGTTGTTCGTCATAATTGTCTTTCTTAATAAATGATCGTTGCTGTATTTGTAACGCCATAATTAACTTTAATCGTTGCCAAAACTATCTCTGAAATACACAAGCGAAGACAGTGAGTGATGTGAACTGTTTATAGGGGACGTTGAAAGTCAGAGCGAGATCTGACAGAAATTTTAAATGCAGAAATATGATTGGTCATTTCTCAGAATTGGACTGGACTAATAACAAGCAATGTATTCATCTCTCAGCAAAATCAAAATTCCACCTCTTTCATATTCGTCAAATAAACCTCTATCCAAGATATAAGCTATTAGAATAATAAGTTCTAAGCTTTCATTTAACACAGTCGACGCTCGATATACACAGTGAATATCGATTTAACGGATAATTTTGGCCCAATAAATTTATCCGCTAAATCGAAATATCTGTAAAAACAAGAAATTTGGATTTTATAACAAAATCACGTGATATAAGTTATATAAAAATCGTATTACTAACAACATGTAAGTAATAAAATAATAAAATTACTTTGAGTTAGTTTGAATTTTCTTTTGATTTGTTTTTGTGGGTGCATATTTTTAACTTTATTATTAAAAGTATGGTTATTTTTTTTTTAAACTGTTAAAATTTTCTTATAAGCAAAGGTGGATATTTCCTTCTCTTTATATAAGAAAAAATTTCCTATTGTCCAAGTCATAAGTTTTATTTTCAAGAATCATTTACAAGCCATAATTTTAATTTTACAAATCATTAATTTTATTTTACATTTTAATTATTTTTAATTATAATAATAGTAATAAGCTTTTGTTTAAAATTCTAGACACTTATTTTAACCGTATGTTATTATCATATTAATATGGTTATATTATCGTACTATATAGTAACATTATAGGACCTCGGATAATTGAGGCAAGACATCATATAAAAGTGCCTAGAATATCTTACTAAAAATAGTAATATCGTTTCCTTTTTGGTCCCAAAATTCATTATAATTATCCGAAGTCCTATATTATTATTTTATAGTTTCAAAATATTATTATCCGTTGTATCGAATAAGTTTGTATATATTAAATATATATAACATGTTCCTAAATCGAGTTTCACTGTGTAACAAAGTATTTATAAAAAGATTGTCACGCATAGTACCAACTCCCTCCCTTTCTTCCTTATATATTACGATTCATTACATAATAGCATTTACTGTCTTAAACAATAGTGCAGAAAGTAAAGAGCGACCTAATAAAAAACATGTCATTGTAGCAGTATAAATAAAATGACATTATATCTATTGCATAATAAATATTTAATGATAATTTATAGTCTTAAAAGCTTAGTGTCTCAGTTCATGTACCACAAAACTTGGTTGCACTTTTTGGAATGTGTTCACCACACAATCCACCAGTAACAAAAATGACAATATTAAATTATTTTAAGGTTGATGATGAAGATGGTAGAAGTGAAAATTTTGTATGCATGGTTTAAAAAAATATTTATTATATAATCCTTCAAGATACACATTGAACAATCTACGGAACATGATGAAAATGAAAACGAAAATGAAAATATATCACCAAGTAATAAAGAAGAAAAATTGGCATCATATATTTGGACGCAGACATCTACAGACATTACTGTCTGTTTCCAATTACCTGTGGGTACGCTGAAAACCGCGATCCACTGTAACTTTTCAAAAACACATCTTTCTCTTACAATCAAAACCGAAGACGATGCATTTGACACCACTAACACCACTAACACCAATTTAAGGCCTCGGCCACCTTTGCCATGTTATGCGTTCTCGCAATTTTTTGATAATATTGATCCGGATGCTTCTTTATGGACCATTGAACCAAACATTGGTTTATTAACTTTACACATTGAGAAGGCCAATCATAAAACGCGTTGGTCGCATGTTTTTCATAACGATGATGGAGTATTTGAAACTCTCGATCCAAATGAGTTTGCTGAATTTCGTGAAAGTTTAGAAAAATACACAACAGATTTGCTTGCAAGCTCTTCTAGCAATGAGACAGTTCGTTTTGAAACCATCAAACCACTTCAACATCCTATTGGTCATGAAATGGAAGAATCTATTGATTATGAAGGACAAGCAGTGACTTTTATGTGGATATCCAAGGAAGGGCTAATAGGAGCAAAATCATCATCTAGTGGACAAGAATTTATATGTAAACAATTTGATAATGCTAAAGCAAAAAATTCTAAAACCAAACCTTATCCTTCTGTGTGTTTAAAATCTGATGTTGATGGCATTGTTTATTCAATTGAACATTCAGAAAATATACATGTATCGTCGCCATTAATCATGACACACTTTGCAACATTCAATGCCTTCGCATTTGTTCAGGCATCCAAACGTGAAAAACGTTTTGTATTTCACGATCCTTCCAATAGATTTGTAATGATTTTTGAAGGAAATCGTCATGCATATATCTATTCACACCATGAAGGAAAAGATAAACATGGTTCACAATATATTGTAGATTTCAGAGAAAAATTACATGGTAGTTTTGATATAATTGGAGTCCAGATGATAGATGAAAAGAATGCCATTGTTTTAGTTCTTACTACTGGACATATAATTGTATTAAAAGTATTATAATTCATATTATTGTTTTTATTATTTCAATTTTTATTGTCGCTCGTTCTTTTACAATTTAATTATTAGATCATTGTAACAAGTATATATGTGAGATGAAATTTTTTAGTGAACGACATCGATCATATTTATTCTCCAATACTGATACGAAAGCTTAAATCCCTCAGTTTTGGTAACTTGTTTTACACAAAAATATTAAATAATCAGTCAACTTTTTTCATAATCAACAAAGAAAAGCTACTTGAAGTGAAAATGTAAAGCCATTCTTAGAAACGAACAGCCGTAGATTTACTTAGAGGGCTCCATTCAGTATGAAAAAGTGTTCATTAAAAAGCTTTAATGGTGAAATTGTTCGAATTTATTATAAAAAAATGTGCTACTTTAAAACTAATGGATTTGCGCAATTGGACTTTTCAGATCCAAACATAATGATAAACTTATAAATTAATCACTTCTTGCATGTTGGCACACGATATATAATTGAACCTATTATATAGTGAGTGAATCGTATTATATAAAGATTTTCCATTTTGTAAAAAAAAATTGATAATCGGTCTTCTTTCAACAACATAAATCGATAGGTCTTGATGAGAGCCATTGAACTATGTTTCATTTTATATTTCTTTTTGAAAATAGTCAAGCAAAGTTGTCCCATTTCTAAATAATCAAACAAATTATTTTTAAAGGATAATAAACTAATGAATATATCATTATTTAGATTATCACAATGATTAGTTAATTACCTGTAATTATGATTTGATCTGTTTTTGCTATATTGGTTGCTATTGTTATTACGAATGCTTTTTTTGGTTTTATTCTTTAACTTCGAACAACTTTTAAAATGTTTTCTCTTAAAAACCATAACAAGATCCCGAAATTTTAAGTCGCACCAAGGACAAATCCAATCTTTTCTCAAATTTTTGATTTCAGAATTTTGATCAGAAATTGGGATTATGTCTGTAAACTTATTTCCAATTGAATTATTATTTTGATCTGTTTCATGAGCATCATCAGTCTTAACTTCAAGATTATCAAGTGCACGAATACTACCGCTTTCTATATTGTGTTCCGGACTTGCCACTGATTCTACTATAATTTTAGAGGTATCTTGGCCAACTTCAAATATTTCAAGCATTAGAATTCCATTATCCTCAACTTCAAAAAAATTTTCCGTGGCGAAATACTGTTCATGATCGTCAAGTTTGTCTTTGACAAGCATGTTTTTGTTTGGCTCATCGTTTTCTTTATCACCAAATGTAGATGAATACTAAAAAACATTATTAATTAACCAAATTTATATTTAGTGTATTGGATTTGTTCTGTGATAAATTTTTAAAATTATCTTACACTCTTAACACTGTCTTGAAAAGAAGCAACATTAGAAGATATGGTGTCGGTGATAGATTTAGGCACGGATGTAGATGTAAATAAAGGTATGTTAGGGGGCACATATCTTGTTAGATATGAATTTTTTGGTGTTACAAGGTCATTATCCGATAATTTAAACATTGATTTTGGTGACGATATTGGAGATGTTGAACACGAGAAAGATGTTGTTGGAAAAGTGTTTTTCAAATTTATATTACTTGATGGATTATTTTCTGACAATGCAAAATACTAAACAAAAAAAGAGGTTAAATATTTTTGTCATCCTTTTGGTTATTAATGTATGAGTAATATTTGCACAAGTCTACATGTCTTACTTTTTTTATATCATAAAATTTTTCTTCCAATCTGGATTGATCTTTAATTTTTGCATTAGGAGTTAATTGTCTACGAGATCTTACTATAACTCCTTGTTGATTATCTACAGTTCGTGGATTAGATAAACTGTCCTGATTTGGTTCGTCAGTGTTACAATTATAAGTGGATACGTGAATTGATGACAATGATGACGAATTATGGCTTGATTTGGAATTAAAATTAGTAAATTGCCTTTTGGACCTATCTCTATCAAAATCACTAGTGCAAAAAGAAACCTTTAAAGATAAAACATGGCCAATTACCATTAGATCAAAAGGTCGGAGGTGTTCAGTG